ACACACACACACACACACACACACACACACACACACACACACACACAAATATTGTGGTGTTACCTCTGTACAGAGAACATTACTCTGACTTGACTGCTTCTTTATTTACATCTTCAGGTTCTGATTTTAGTACCTAAAAAAATCAGACACAGCTCTTCAGTGTGAGAGTGTGCAAACTGATATGTCTCATGCACACGCTCACACACACACACTCTCTCACACACACAGACATGACAAACAAACCTCGGCTGGCCCCGCAGTGCAGCGCACAGCGCCGGCTGGCATCAGCGCAGCTCTTATCAGCTTTATGACTTCCACTTGGACGACTTTATTTGTGTACTTTGACTTTCGCTGTGAAGCTCCGTCTGACACGGAGTGGCACTGTGAGGGGTCAAAGGTCAAATCTGGACTTTACTTCAGCACGCAGATTACAACCACGAACAATTCTCAGAAGCTGAAATAAATCTATTAACAGGAAGTTAACTGTCAGGTGGAAGAACAGCTCGTTTGTTCGGGATCAGCTTGTTTATCACCCGCTGTTGAAAGTGGAGGTGGGCCATGATGGGGTTCAATTCCACCAGCAGTCACATGCTGAAGTGTCCTTGGGCAAGACACTGAACCCCTCATTGCCTCTGATGTGTGTCCCATCAGTGTTTGAATGTGATAAAGCTCTGATTATTCTCTGTAGAGATATATAGAGTGCTATATGAATGGGTAAATGAAGACACAGATTGTAGTGTAAAGCACTTTTAGTGTCTTGTTAAGATAGAAAAGTTCTATATATGTACAGTCCGTTACTTTTAATGTTTTAATGTGTGTGCATGTTTGTGTGTCTGTTACTAACAAATGCCTTGAATCGCTGGATTGCTTTAAATCAAAATTTCAAGGGAAAACACTGGATGTATGTTTATGACTGGATAACTTTTATAAGAGGACCACCACAGCTGATTGACCTTAAAATGGTATAGTTTAGTGAAGTCTGAGGGGTGAACAGGAGAGGAAAGTACAACCTAACCTATCAGCAGTTAAAGTATCAATTTAAGACTAAATTAATGTTACAATAAAATATGATTGAACTTTAGAAATAGAATACAACAGTTATGTTTTTTTCTTTATATTTTTCAATTGTTTTTGCTCCTAAAAAGCTGAACCTGATGAAGGAAGTCCTTATATGGCCAAAGAAGAAAATGTGAACTGATTTTTGTGCACGAACCATAAAATTCCACATGTGGAAGCTAATATATAGATATAATTTGTATTTTACTCACAAAAGTGTTAATAAAATAATAATAAATTTAGCTTTTATCACTTGAGTAAAACTGAGAGAAATGTTCTTATTTGCAGTTTTAGTTCATGAAGTCAGATGCAGATTAAAAGGTCATTGAATTTTTAAAAGAAAGAAAAAGTTAATGAATTAAATCATTTATGCTCATTTCTGCCTATTTTTGTTTCTCGCGCTGTATTGTTTTTGTGGGGGGGGGGGGGGGGCTTTTATTTTGTAAACTGTGGTTAGGAAGTGGGGTCAAACCCGCAAATCCCATAGAAAGAGGTAAGTGCA